CCCGAGGCTGCAGAGTCTGGATTTGCTGAGGCTGCAGAACATAACTCCAAATGGCAAAGGGAAGACTTTTTATAGCTCACGGACTCCAGCACTAGTGCGAGGCATGAAGTGTCTGTAAGCAAGAGATCTGTGCAACGGCCACCCCCAGGTGAGACTTGGGACCTGCAGCAAAGACAGGAGGGCCTGCAGGGGCTTGGGCAGTGCCAGCAGCACAGTGCCAAAGAAACCTGCGCGAGGAGGGATGCACAAAGCACTTCCACAGCAGAGGAGCTAACAGCTAAATGCAAGTCCAAACTGCAGTTCTGGGTCCTGCTGCAGCTCCAGGCAGGTGCTGGCAAGAGATTAGCAAGCCAAGGTGAGAGACTGCAGTGTGTCGAGGGAGGAGAGGTCGGAGACGCGCTCTCCTGTGTGAGATCCAAACACTTGAGCTGGGCTTCCTGAAGCACTTCAAGACAAAGGGAACTAGAAGTTGTGCCAGCCCTGCAGGAACACACTGGGCTTCTTTTATCCTCCCTCCAACCTCAATAAAGTTCCTCATTAGAGGAAGCCGATGCTGGCTGTTTTTCGTACAATAGCTCAGTTGAATTTAAAGGTCGTAGGGTGCCTAGTGAGAAAGCATGTCTAATAAAAGACACAGAAACAACTGCCAGCAGATTAAATTCCCGTAGCAAGAGGCTGAGTAGAGGGCTAAGAGTCCTGGAAAGGTCACTCAGTATGAGACCCATTTCAAAGAAAGACAGGGACAAGGCAAGCCTGGGAAAAGCCTGGGAAGAGATGAATAAAACAACATAGTATGTTCCAAGAAGCCAAGACATCAGAGAAGCAGAGGGCTGGGGCACGTGGGCCATGGTGGGGTCCTGGCCCAGCTCTTGCAGGCCCCAGGTAGAAAAATCAGGATTTTGTGCGCAGCTCAGTATTGCAGCCTTGACCCCTGTCAGTCCTACAGCCAAACTTTAACACTGGAATCGCTGCTGAGAAAAAGCAAGTGGGACGCTGTGTTGTTGTAACTGAACAGTGACCTGCAGGGGCATTCTTGCTGTTTCTGGGACAGCACACAGGAGGGCAGCGCCAGGAGGGAACTGACAGTGCCCTGTTCTGCAATTTTAGCAACTCCAGCGGACACCGACCCGAAGACAATGATGCACAGAACGAAGAGTGCATCTCCTCTCTCCTCTCCAACTTTATTATTATTTTAAATGTTCATAAGTTACACTGCTACTCAGAGACCCAGTGGTGCTAGGACCCAGAACGAGGTGGACAGTGAGACCTGCAGCAGCCCCAGCCAGCCCAGATAGGGATCAGTGAACCGCCGGACACGCTGGCCTGAGCAAACATGAGCAGAGTGAGCCAGCTTCAGAGGACCAGAGAGGCACGTGGCACACGGCTGGACAAAGGGCACAGCACAAGGCGTGAGACCTCTGTCCTCTTCTGTGCTGTTGGAGGTCTCTTTGTACCTGTTTTGAATCACTGTCCAGTGCTGCCCCTTGTGCCAGTGAGCCATTCCCAGCACCCTCACAGGAAGGGCATCAGGGAAAGTAAACGTGGAACCTGCTTTCTCAGCCCTTGGAAAGCCACGTGTAGAAGCAAAGACCGGGCTAAGGCACAGAATGGAGCAAGCAAAAGGCAAAAAGCTGCTGTGGATCATCCATCTAAAAGCAACATGACCCAACGGCTTCGTCAGGTACGCTGCCAAGGGTTACAGAGCCAGCCAGCTGCGCAGAAAGACTTTGGGGCAGTTGGTCCCTGCATTGCCAAAGCCAGCCAGAGGACAAACCAGTACAAGGGAGAAAGGTTGTCCAGGGACAATCAGTGGGCATGGAATTAACACAGGCAAATCTGTGACAAGAGCGGGGTTCCCTGCATGCAGGTCTTTGACTGTGGGAGCAAAAAATCTAAAAGAATGAAGTCTCACTCTGGCACTGCCCTCACACTCAAAGCGCTGGCCCTGCTGTTCGGCAGGAGAAGCTGGTGGTGGCTGGGGAAGCAGCACATGGGCAGGGTGGCAAAGAATGCAATTTTCTGTGCGAGTGCTTCTTAAAAGAGTGATTCTCAGTCCCTTTGAAAGTCCCAAGAAGCTTCACTCACCCCAGTGGAGCCTGGCAGGGAACTGTGCCCTGTTCACGGGACAGTTAAGCCAAAAGCAACAGCAGCAAGCAGGACAGGGCTGGTATCATGCAAACTGCCCCCACGGGGCTAACAGCAAAGCTTGTCCTCCCAAGCAGTGCCTCCTGCACAGCCCGTATCGATCGAGATGACCTGGCAGAGTCCTCCTGAGGACTGAATCCATCACGGCAAGAGAAAGGAAAAGGAAGAAGGTGCTCAGCCCTGCTCAGGGCAGACCGTAGACAGGAGCAGAAGCTAAAGGAGCCCTTCAAAGAGAGAGGGAGATCAGCAGGTACCTCCACGCAGACGTCAGGCTCACACTGGCAGTGTCCAGCACTCTGCAAAGGCTCCCAGGAGATCTGGATTCCTTACAAAGCTGTAGCAGCAGAGCGAGTTGGTGGCAGACAGGAGCTCTCCATTCATCTTGGCAAGATTGGTGGTTTTGCAGAAAGAGCCCACTTACATGTGCTCAGGGTGGTTCTGGAGACACTTGATGAAATCAGTAACAGGTCTGCCCTCGTAGCAGATCTGATACACCGCTGTGAAGAGCGGGAACCTGTGGGCAGATGGACTAAGTCACCCCTTGCCCTGCCA